TACAATGCTCAAAGGATATGCCTGGGTGCCCGGGGGCACATGTGGGTGCTCCAGGTACATGCCTGGGTGACCCAGTGAGTGCTTTATTACTCCAAATAGATGGTTGGGTATTCTCAGAATCTACTTGGGTGCCTCTGGGAGATGCTTGTGTGATCTAGGAATTACTTGGGTGTCCAAAATAGTGCTTGTGTGCCCTGGGACATGTTTGTCATCAATGGCAGGAACCTGAGTGTCTCACAAAAGTGCGTGGATACTCTGGGGTGATGCTTGGGTGCTCCAGAGAGATGCCTGTGTGCTTAAGGAAGGTTGCTTGGCTCAAGCGAGGAGATGTTAGCGTGCCCTGGAAAAATGCTTGGGGATTCCAGAGAGATCCTTGGGTCCTTCAGGAAGGTGCTTGTGTTCCCCAGAGAGATGCTTGTGTGGTGTCCCCAAGGAAGTACTTCATTGCTGTGTGCAGATGCTTGGGTCCTGCAAGGATTTTCTTGGGTGCCCCATGGAGATGCTTGGGTGCTCACAGTTGATGCTACTATTCCACAGAGTGGTGCTTTGGTCTTCCAAGAAGGTATTAGAGAGAACTATGGAGATACTTAGATGCGTGAAGGATATTCTTATTTAGGGTAGACTCTTGAATGCTCTAGGTAGGGGCTTGATGTCTCCAAGGAGATGCTTTTGAGCCTTGTCATGATGATTCAGGAGGTGCTTGGGTTCCCTGGCTTGAATCTTGCATGTCAAGTGATGTGCTTTGGAGCACGAAGGCATTGTTTGGATGCTTGGGAAGGTTTGGGTGCACCACAAAGCTCCTGGTGTTCTCCAGGAGGATGCTTCTGTGCTGTTACAAAAGGGTTGTGTCTTTGTGGTGGTTTTACTCGGGTGGGCAGCCGAGCTCCACCACAACTGCTCTCTCACTCCCCCTCCTCAAAGAGGAACGGGGAGAAAATATGATGAAGAGAGCTCAAGGGTTGAGATAAGGATGAGGAGATTGCACAGTAATTATCGTGATGGGCAAAACAGACTCGGCATAGGGAGATAGTACTTATTACTAATAAGTTATAGAAGTGAGAAACAAAGGAAAGAAACTAAAAGCACCTTTCCCCAACCAGCCACTTCCACCTCATCCCCCTGAGTGGTGCAGGGGAATGGGGGAGCGGGGGTTATGGTCAGTCTATAGTGCTTCTTCTCTGTCGCTCCTTCTCAATCACTCTCATCCCCTGTGCTGTGGGGTCCCTCCCACGGGATGCAGTCCTTGCTGAACGGATCCGGCATGAGCTGCCCAGAGGCAGCAACTCTTCCAGAACTGCTCCAGATATGGGTCTGTACCACGGAGTCCATCCCTCAGGAGCAAACTGCTCCAACCTGGATCCCCCACAGGCAGCAGCTCCTGTCAGGTCACCTGCTCCTGCGTGGGCTCCTCTCCATGGGCTACAGGTCCGGTCCGGAATCTGCTCCAGCAGGAGTCTTCCACAGGCTGCAGCCTCCCTCAGTGCAGGTCCACCTGCTCGACTGTGGTCTCCTCCACGGGCTGCAGTGTGGAACCCTGCTCCACCGTGGTGTTCCATGGGCTGCAGGGGGACAGCCTGCTTCACCATGGTCCTCACCACAGGCCGCAGGGGACTTCTGCTCCGGAGCCTGGAGCACCTCTACGCCTCCTTCTTCAGTGACTTTGGTGCCTGCAAGACTGTTCATCACTCCTCTCACTCTCCCAGCTGCTATGTGGCACAGCATTTTTTTTTCCATGCCTTAAACATGCTCTCACAGAGGTGCAAAACAACATCACTTATTGGCTCAGCTCTGGTCAGCAATGGGGTCCTTACCTAACATGGGGCAGCTTCTAGGTCCTTCTCACAGAAGTCACCCCTCTGGCCCCCTGCTACCAAAACCTTGCCATATAAACCCACTACACCCAGCACTTCCTATGTCCCAGGGAGCCTTTGGGACTCTCTTTGAGCACGTTCTAATGTGACGGCAACTCTGAAAGCAGATGTGAGTATTTAGGCATAGCTCTTTTAAGAGGGAAATAGAATAATGAACCAAAATGAAGAATGTTACTTCTAAGTGAACAAAATTACTCAGAATATTAGTGGAAACTAACAGCAACACAAGATCAAAGAATTGGCATGGCCTAATGTGAGTAATGTTTTCAGTTGTTTTCAGAAGAAGAAAGGCAAGAATGTTGTTGGTTATGAAAAACACCTGCCCATCAGTTTCCATATGGCATTCTTGAGCTCCTGGCTCCTTATGCTGTAGATGAGGGGGTTCACTGCTGGAGGCACAACTGCATACAGGACTGCGAGCACCAGGTCCAGGGATGGGGAAGAGATGGATGGGGGCTTCAGCTGGGCAAACATGATAGTGCTCATAAAGAGGGAGACCACAGCCAGGTGAGGGAGGCATGTGGAAAATGCTTTGTGCCGTCCCTGCTGCGAGGGAATCCTCAGCACAGCCCTGAAGATCTGCACATAAGACAGAGCAATGAAAACAAAACAAGGCTTGGCTGTGTGTAGCCAAGAAGCTGCAAGGCCAGAAGCAGGCCCCTGGCTTGGAAGCTGCTGCTGAGGTGACTTGTGTCTGCTTGGCTGACAGGCCAGAAAGAGCCTGCTGGGTTGGGATGCCTACTTCAGAAGTGGTTTCCACCCTGACGGAGTTTACTTTGGTAATATGAAAGAGCAGGAGAGAAAAACTGCCACAAAGTGCACCCTGGAAACTTGGCACCGGCCATGAGAAGGAAGAAATATCCAGGGGAACAACTGGTCCGTCTGCTAGAGTTAGAGGCAAAGAAGGTGTTAAGAGCCTTTGCTTTACCTCCTTTCTTGTTACCAAGTTTCCCCTCACATCCAATAAAGGATGATGATTCTCCCTAATCTTCCTTTATGTGAAGTATTTATATAAGCAGTTTTTATTTTCTTTGACAGTAATATACCACTGGAGCTCCAGCTGGGCTTTGGCCCTTCTAATTTTGACCTGCACAGCCCCATAACATTCAGGACACAGCTCCAGACAAACTGAAAGCATGCATGGGAGGAAAGCACAAAAGACTTTCCTCAAGTCCTGATGCTGCTGTCTTGTCAGAGATAGCACAATCACATGGAATTAGAACTGTCTGCCTGCAGACCTTAACGCCTGACAGAATGGAGAGTCAGTCCATGGGAACCTTGAGAAACCTCAAGATTTGTCTAAAGGAACATCGTGCCCTTTACAAGAAGAAGAGCCCTGTCCTGCACTGATGAAGAGTAACCCTACACATCAGGGCAGCGTGGGACGCTGCTGAGTGAGCAGTGCCCAGGAGGAGGAGGGCCAGGGCACCACAAGGGATGTCATACGAGCAGTGGTGCCTGCTCACTAGGAACCAGGCCAGCTTCCTACAGAGCTGCCTTACAAGGAGCATGGCCACCAAGATGATATGAGTTACCAGACTCAGCTCATCTGTGTAAGAGACCACCAACAGAAGGGTCTGCAGCCAGCAGGGTAAGAGGTACAGGTATGAGAGTCCTTAGGTAAGGCTGCTGTGGAAAGTATTAAGGGCTGTGACAAGATTGAGAGACCCAGCAGGACCCAGGTCTTTGTGTCTATGGCTATGGCTGTTGTCTCTGCCACTGAGGTCTATGAGCAGACAGATTACTGTTAAAGCACCAGGGCCTCATTGCCTCCTCACCCCCACCCATGAACCAGGCAGGGGTCGTACCATTCTCCTGCACTTGGCCATGCACATCCCCATCTCCTTCTGCCCCACAAAGAGCCCTGAGCAACCTGTAAAGGAAAGGATCTCCCTTCCCAGGGGACAGGGGTCAAGGCCTGGCCCTTGTGCTTTCTGACACACATCCAGTTTGTCCACACATCAGTGTCACCTTCACATTGCCTTTGTCTCCTTGTCCTCACTGCCTCCAGGGTTCTGCTCTAACGAGCTCCAAGGGAGGCTGTGTCAGTGCTGGCCCTCAGGGGGACACTGCAGGAAACTTGCCTCTGACTTGGCCTTCTGGAGAGATGTCTTCAATTGTCTCTGAGTGCCTGAGGTTCGTGGGCTCATCAGCCAAGCCCCCAGAGGGGTGATTGCAGTGCCTTGGGCTGGTGCTGTGCTGCTGAGCTGTGCCATGCTTGTGAGACAGAGAAAACACATTTCAGAAAGTCCCATGAAGCAGAGAGAGCGCTGTGCCCAGGAGCAGCTCCTCTGCACAGCACAGCAAGGCAGGGGGCTCTGACTGCAGCTGGCATGGGGAGAGGGGAGAAGGAGAGGGGGCTTGGAGGCATAAGGGAGTGGGAGGATGCTGAGAGCTGCCTGCAGGAGAAATGTGCACAGCCCTTGACAAGGTAAGTGTCAAGGTGAATATTCTGTCCATCTGCTCTTCTACTGCAGCTTCAGTGCTCCCAGCTGTCTCAACTTTCTTCTCAGAGAAATCGCTGACCATGTTCATCATGCTAACCATAACAGGGATAACTACCAGATAACAAAAGAAAACTCTACCTTGCTCAAGCAAGAAAGAAACCTGGTTGAAGGTCCTCTTCAAAAAGAGAGGGTCAGGCTAAGGCATGTTTTAAGACTTACAATGGCTTTTCCTGAGAGAAGTCTGTTCTAACATTTCTCTGCCATCTCATCTTCAGAAGACAACTGTGTCCAGAGTCAGCAAATGCCCAACGTCAGCTTCGTGAGCGAGTTCCTCCTGCTGGCATTTGCAGACACACGCGAGCTGCAGCTCCTGCACTTCACGCTCTTCCTTGGCATCTACCTGGCTGCCCTCCTGGGCAACGGCCTCATCCTCAGCGCCGTAGCCTGCCACCACCGCCTCCACACCCCCATGTACTTCTTCCTGCTCAACCTCGCCCTCCTCGACCTGGGCTGCATCTCCACCACTCTGCCCAAAGCCATGGCCAATGCCCTCTGGGACACCAGGGCCATCTCCTATCAAGGCTGTGCTGCACAGGTCTTTCTCTTTGTCTTCTTGATGTCATCGGAGTATTTCCTTCTCACCATCATGGCCTATGACCGCTACGTTGCCATCTGCAAGCCCCTGCACTACGGGAGCCTCCTGGGCAGCAGAGCTTGTGCCCAGATGGCAGCAGCTGCCTGGGGCAGTGGCTTTCTCAATGCTGTCCTGCACACGGCCACTACATTTTCCCTGCCCTTCTGCCAAGGCAATGCTGTGGACCAGTTCTTCTGTGAAATCCCCCACATCCTCAAGCTCTCCTGCTCAGATGCCTACCACAGGGAAGTTGGGGCACTTGTGTTTAGTGTTTCTTTAACATTTGGTTGTTTTGTTTTCATTGTGGTGTCCTATGTGGAGATCTTCAGGGCAGTGCTGAGGATGCCCTCTGAGCAGGGCCGGCATAAAGCCTTTTCCACGTGCCTCCCTCACCTCACTGTGGTCTCCCTCTTTGTCAGCGCTGTCATGTTTGCCTACCTGAAGCCCCCCTCCATCTCCTCCCCATCCCTGGACCTGGTGGTATCATTTCTGTACTCAGTTCTGCCTCCATCAGTGAACCTCCTTATCTACAGCATGAGGAATAAAGATCTCAAGGAGGCACTGAGGATGTTATTGCAATATTCAGTATTTCAGAGAGGAACCCGTCTTCTGCATCTGATTCCCTGAAATATACGTGGACAAGGCAGAAACATCTTTGTTCATATATTTCAAAAATTATTCATTCTTTTCAATATTATTCCAATATGCTAAATTATTTTTTATCTTTTTATTTTATAAATTTAAGATATTTCTACTCCTCTTCTACATTTTCTTTTTACCCAAAGTCCTCATGTAGAGGTGCTGCTAAGCTCTTTGTGACTAACTAAATAAAGGAACCAGCAGGTAGTCAGTTTCTGTGGATCTCATTTCTCATACACTCTTCTCAGGTACAGCAGTGGTTGTGGGATGAAGATGCCTGCTGCAACGTGGTGGAAAGCCCTGGTGTCCTCCTTTGGGGCTGTCCTTTTCTGTCCTGGCAGGCACTCTCTCCCTGCAGCCTTTGAGTCAGGGTCACCACTTTCTTGGAACCACAAACACTGACAGCAGCAGGACATGGTCGTTTTGGTGCTGGTCACCCTTCTCTTCCACACTGCTGTCTTGTAGCACCACTGAATCAGAACTGGCCTTCCAGCTAGTGCCTTTAGAAGTATGGCTTTCAAAAGTGAGGTGGAGGAAGCACTGAGGAAGCAGCCTGATCTGATGTGAAAGTTCTCCTTGCTCAGAGCAGATCTTTTCACTGGAAACCTCCAGAGGTCCCTTCTGACTTTAATCCTAAAGGAAAGAAGGGGCGGGAGAGGGAAGCATGGGTAGGGAATATTGCAGTGGGTTGAGGTATTTCTGACATTTGTAATCCCTGCCAGGCATTGCAAAGTGACAGATTCACTGAGACTGGAGGGGACCTCCACAGCCCATCTAGCCACCCCCACTAGCCATGCATAGACACCTACACCAGCCAGCCCAGGCCCATTTCCAGTTGGGCTCTGGTATCTCCAGTGGCGGGGACTAGCCCACATTTGGGAAACAAGTTCAAGGACGAGAAGTGCATGTATTGAGAGGAAGGCCACGGAAAGCCACCAGGACAAGTGCCATTTTCTGCCCCTGCGGGGGACTGACCCTGGGCAAGGCCCAGCTTTGGAAGCAGCCCTGTCGGACATGGTGGGCAGTGAGCTGGGCAGGAGGCAGTCATGTGCCATGGGAGCACAGGAGGGAAGGCTGAGGGGCACCTCACTGCAGCCTGCCAGGAGCTGCAGGGATGTCAGGAAGAGCCCCTGGGGGGCCAGGCTGTGTCCTGTGATGTGCAGGGATCCCTCCTCTTGCTACGCTGTGTGCACTGGCTGCAGCAGAAGGGACCCCCAGCCAGCCCCTGCATGGGGCATGGGGCTGTGCCACCCGCCTGGACCCGGATTTGACTCCTTGTCTCTGCTGGGCCCCACCTTCCACACCCAAATGTGTCCCTTGGCTGTCGGCTCCCATTCCCCCGCCCTGTGGGAATACCAAGCCGGGGCAGACAGGTTACCATTAGATGTGCTGGTGCTTGTGTAATTCACATTGCTGATGGCACAAATGACAGTTCCTTCACCAGTGATGCACATCCTTCTTCATGTTAGGACAAACTCAACGTCCTTCTCTCTCTGCTTTTCCTCATGGATGAACTGGATTAGGTCTCCTTGACTACTCTGAGGCACAATGCAATGCTTTTTGCCTTCTGCTGCTCCAGTACAGTATGTGTGACCTTCCCTTACTCTGCACATTGACCTCATGGGTCATTCCATATTTGTTGCTTTCAAATCCTTACTTGGCCGGGAGCCATTTCAAAAGTGGGGCAAGCTGATTGGTTCTGCCTCAGCCATTTGAAGCATGCTATACTTGAGTTTATCAGCCTGAGTTTGCTAAAGATGACCCAGGAAGGTCATCAACAGATGTTCAAGTGTCTAGTTTAAGTAAGGGAGAGTATCTCAGATTTCCAGTGGCCATTTCAAATCTAGGTCAATCCAAGGAACCCACTGAAGAAGAGGTTTGTCTTTGAAGGGGTGTTCCTGTGCTGGGCTGGGCTGCAGTTACAGGGACAAAGACCACTGCTGGCAGTGGAGGTGCCCTGGGAACTCCACCTGGCTCCACCTGATTTTCCCAAAGGGCTCCGGCCTCCTGCAGGTCTTTTCTGACATCTGCCAGTCCAGGCAAGTGCCTGAAACACAACAGGGCCACTGGAGGTTTTCCCTGGTTGCTTATGGTCAGACAGCAAAGCTCTGCCAGAATACCCAGTATTTTTTTCCAGTACTTGAATAATAAAGCAACAACTCATCAGCTCAAAAGACTCAATCCTTTCTGTAAAATGTCTCATGTGAAGTGTAATTTCTATCATGAAGAAATGTGATTTTTCTGGATGCATATTCATCCCAGGAGAAGAAATACTGGTGTTCACCTGTAGTTGCATTGTCATCGCTTTTCTATCATGGTGTGCTCCCTCCCTCATCTTCCAGGCACAAAACTCATCTTGATTACATAGACCCTGCTGAATGCCCCCTTTCCAGCTGCCTGTCTGGACCTATGCACTTCGCATCATTCTCCTGGTTTGCCCTCCTCTTACCGTTTAATCATTCAGACCACTCTCAGTGACCCAGTTGCTGCTTGGAGTTTCAGTGAGTTCAAGGTCGCCCATCTCTCAGCAATCTGTCTAATGGTTTCCTTAGAAAGACCCTCATCGTTTATTATTGAATTTGTATGATATGGATTAATATTAACACAATTACTTAAAATTTCCTATTAATCACTGTAAAATACATCATGTACAGTCATCCTTTTGGGAAGGTAAACATCACTGGAGGCAACAAAATAAGGAACTTGAACATTATTTTTTTTTTTTTAAAATTGCAGCATGATTTCCTGTCGTTTGTTTTGAAATAGGAAAACCCCTGTTCTTCCCATCTAAGCAGGACTTCAAAGGAGAAACCCTAGACCAATACCTATAGCAGAATGATGCTCTCAACTGAAACACAACAAAATTCAGCCTTTAAAATGAAAAAAGATTTTTTTAGATGCTCTTTGAAATCTTCCCCCTTAACTACAACATGAAAGCTCTCCAATTAGCTGAACAAGTCTTGAAGACTTGAAGAAAATGGTGGGAGAGATATGGCTCCTTAGGAGTTTCTGTGTTTTAATGAGTTCCATGGAGTACTTTGGTGCTGAGTCGATGAAACTTGGGTACTGAGAGGAGAATGATGCAATTGAACGAAAAAGCAAACTCAAAAGGAAAAGCTAAAGTGACTTGGAGTATTAATGGACCCCACTGCAGGCTGTTACTGACAAAGCTTCCCCAGGGATATGTTAGGAGAGATAATTGGCGGCCATGGTTACAGACAGGCAAAGCACTGTGCTGAGAAATGTCTTGGTTGGTTTTGGTGATGCAGAAGGTCCAAGGCCTGACCCCAGCCACTGTGAGGTGAGATCCTGCACCCACCTGTCTGGCTCAGGACTTTTCTTGGGGGTCTGAGGAATGTGGTGGGCAGTGTGATCCCACAAGGAAAACACTGGTATGACACCTCCCTGCCTCTGCACAGGGTTGCAAGGAAGCAAACACTGCAATGACTTTATCTCATCTCCTCATAAGCTCTAGCCAAAGTGACAGGGCTGTTGGGTCCTTCCATTTTGCCAGCACTCTCTGCCTTTTCCTCTGAAGGCTTTCCTATGCTGTCCCACACTTTGTCCTATTTCCTGGAAATCTGCAGACACCCATCTCTATTCAACACCTTGCTCTCATCCCAGCATTTCCATCATTTCACCAACGTCTCTTCAACCCTCAACAGATGTTTCTTGAAAAACGAATTTAAGGTCAGATCATAGATACTCAGCAGCATCTTCCAAGCCATGGGCCTGCTGCTGGCCTTGCAGCTTCTTGTGGAGACACAGCCAAGCCTTGTGCCTGCTGCTGCCCACTCATGGACTAAAGCAGAAGGGACAGGACAACCCATCTGGGGGCCTTCTGTCTGTCTGGGTCCTCCTGGGTCTGGAGGCAGAGGGGATCCCCCAGTCAGCATGCCAAGCAGGTGCCTTCTGCTGGCCTAGCAGGGTCACTGGCAGATGTCAGCCCAGAAGTGCAGATCCCAGGGAGAAGGCAAGGGTGACCTGCCACCTCCAGACACAAGTGACCTCCCAGTCCCTTTCTGTGACACGTTCCTGCTTTTGGCCTATCAAGTGCAGAGACAGAAGTGACCTCACAGTCACTGCCACAGTCACATTGCTCCTGCTGGGCCATGAGATCCTGAGGCAGAGCTGAGCTCCTCAGAGCATTCCCACCCATCTCCTCCTTGTGACCCACAAGCTGATCAGATCCATGGCCCCTCACATTCATTTGCGGTAAGGGTTTTGTTTAGGTCTCTGAAGCAGTTTTCTAGTGTTATATAGACCATTTTAATGCTAGTATTAAGGACAGAGATAAGAGTAATTAAGAGAGAAAGAGCTAGGGGAAGCAGCTATGGGCTGAGTTTTGTCTTCTAGGGATACGTTGAGGTCAGTCATTAGAGTAGTGGATTCCTGTCAGGGTGCTGAGTAGCATTTAGGTGTAGGAATTAAGTTTACAGGTTGAAGCTGGGGAATAGCCTTGTATGAGTATTTTAAGTCACAGTTACAGCTACATCAGCATAACCTAAACCCTCTTACCTCTACAAAATCCTTAATTTAGGCTGGCCAAGCCCCTATTCCCTCCTCTCAGTCTCACATTTTTCCTGGCCAGGCTTCTCCTGATTTCCCATATCAGTTACCTTTTTAGGGGCAATTTTATGATGCCTTGCATGATCTTAGACTGTCAGTGTTCTGTTGGCTACTCTATTCCTGAGAAAAGCGTCACTTAAGACATGATGGAAAAGGACACAAAAGTCCATCAGAGCACCCTGCACAATGTGCCCAGCGGCTCTGCAGTTCCACAAAAGTGTGGTTCCTGCCTACAAGTTTTCTTTCCAGAATGGCTCCTATGGCTCCAGGGTAACTTTTCCCAGGCACTCACTTCCCCAGGCCACACCACTCTTGTCCGCAGGCCCCAGGTGTCTCTCCAAGCCTCCCCTCTCCCCCTGCAGTAGTGGCACCTCACTGCAGCAGGTTGGTGCATCTCCAGACTCAGGGGTGTTTCCTGA